TGCACTGCGTTCGTTATGATAACTTCACGAAAAATTGTAAAATTCTCCAAATTATGGTAATATTACATTACTGTCATTTGCTAACAGTGAAAATTAAAATATTCATCAATGCTGGACAATCAACGATACACCCGCTTCAAAACGGTTCCATTTGTTTATAATTAAATTTTTTTATATTTAATGTTTATTTCTTGTGCTAACTCATAGTGAGATGTTTCAATGCCACCTATCGAGGATGCACGGCGAATCAATTAAATATCATGGCCATATATCTCACACATTATGTATGATAACTCAAAATATCACGCTGTAAATACTCTTCACATATTAATAATTTGCTCCCTACTTTTTGGCTGGTTGATCTGGGACTATGGAAATGTGATATCATTTGGACATTGAAGTTAGCAGTTATTAAAAAAGACTTCATGCCGCGCATGTGAGTATGAACGCAGAGCGCAAAACAAACTGCTAACTCACTTTTCTTGTATATTATTTAACGCATTAAAGGTCATTTCCTGTCAAGCGTAATTTTATTTAGAATTTATACAAATGGCTACCGCTTCTATCACAAGTCAGTTTCTGCCATGACATGTTAATAAAAAAATAAACGAACACTCTCGTACCGGCTTCTCTCGAGGAATAATAGTTGTCTTTTCTGGAAGCTATAAAACACATACATTGGATACTTCAGTGCTGTCTGATTGAAAAGCTTACCGTCACAACAATGGCATCTTCAACGCGTTCATTGGGAAGCTGCAAACTGAATATTTTAGAACATTTGGCTTTAAAATTAACTAATAAAAATAAACTTTCAAACGATTAACTGATATATAAGAAGATAGCGCAGCTCAGTAAGCAACGCATAAGAGAACAGCATCCATAAATAAATGCCCGCTAGCTTGCTAATGTTCATTACAAAGCAATATATCAGTTAACAACTTTGTCAACGGTCAGATATTATAATAAAAATTAACCCTGGTACTATGGGCTTTCTATCAAGGTACTAGTTTTCTGTACTATTAACAAGAGTAACACTCCTGTCACTTCAGCGCATTCGCATGGCGTAGTGACAAAATATTGTCACTGTCAGCGGGATTGAAAAAACTAGTCGTTTACCAGTACACCCATGATGCTGATGTCAACTACCATTCCATATGCCAATGGTTGTTCTTGTTTGACCGAACAAAATGGTACTGTTTTGCGCCTATGTACTGTAGGTGCTAAAATGTCCTGACCTTTTAACGGGGTTCTTTAAGGCCACAGGAAGCATGGTGTATCACAGTTACAAAGAAGAACCAACGTTCTTTCGAGCGTTCCGTGCAGGTAGTGAACGTGGAAGTACGCAGCACATGGAAAATACTAAAATAAGTTTCATCAACCACCGGTTGTCTGTGAATCACCGCATTGAACCACGTCTAATCTATGATTTTTCAGCTTGTCAACGCTTTTGCTACATCTTACCAGCTACTGCGCTGTACAAGTAGCAATTCCTTTCTGAGTGCAAATCTGTCGCTATAATTTTCTATTCTTTGCTTATGAAAGTTCTAAGCTTGTACTGTAACAAAAGTAACTGTTTGTGTAACACAAAAGTCTGATTTAATACCCCTCACTAGTTCTTTATACTGATAATGTGTAACAACTACCATAAAACCAACACTGTTCATTGTTTACATGATTGTATAATGTTCCAGCATACGTTGGAACAGTGCTGAATGATTTTTTGGGACGTATTATATTCAAGCTAACGGGAATTTCATGTTATTCAAAAATTTTAAACTTACGAACAGCATCTGTGGTGGACAACGTTCATAAATCAACAGAGAGGTGTGCAAAATTTTATCTAACAAAACAATTTTCAGGGTTTCTTGAGTGATAAAATTTACGGGCCGTTCACTGGCTATTCTCGATGCAGAAGATTAAGGTACGGAGAAACTTTAGCCGATCTAATATTCAGATAAGCCGTTTTTAGAAGACATGAAAAGAACCAGTGAGACAGAATGACGAGAATTCAGGTACAAAATGACTTAAAAAACGATACTGAAACATCAAAAGAATTCCTTTTATGGTAGCGGTATATCTTCTGTACTAACGCCTAGCCACATTCTTTCTTGAAGCACCAAAACTAACCTTCACCGCTGTCTGGTTAGGATTTCAATTTTTTCATTACAGTTTAATTACTGACATTGCTTGGTGCAATCACTCCAATAGATCTTCTACGCGGGAGATATTTACAGATATACGATGTGACTCCTTGAAACTTGACAACGAAACAGCGCATACTAACTGAAAGTTCAAAAACAGACCACTGCTATCTGACGCTGTAGAAGAAGAGCTCAGAAACAACATAAAACGAGGGGGTATCTTCAAACACCATTCAGTTAACAAAGATGACTTTACTTCAGTGTCG